GGCATTTGGTAAACCATTGAATGTCATAATGAAATCAAAATTAAACAATCTTGGGCTCCTCCAATTTGTCTCGCCAAGATGTTCAATTTGACTAAAAGCTTAGTAGATTTGGAATCTATTTGACCTTACAATTATGCACCAAGAACTTCCAAAGGTAGTTTAAAAGCTTGATCTATGCTTAATTTGCTCGATTAGATCAATTTTGGCATCATTGGGTCTATCTCTTCGAGCCAGTCTGTTTGACTATAAGTTTGCTAAAATTAGAATTCTTGAGGATTTTTAATTGAAGTTAGAATGTTTCTAGGTCAAAAAATTACCTTCTATTCGAGCCAGTCAGTTTAAATATAAGTTTGCTAAAATTAGAATTCTTGAGAATTTTTAATTGAAGTTAGAATGTTTCTAGCTCAAAAAATTATCTTTAAATTCATGCACTCCATTGAAATTTTGTGTTTGATGATGAAAATTTGTTGAAGGCATATGTCTTGCGCCCTAGTGGGGCTCCCCTATGTCGCGCCCGGCACACCTATGTGTGTTATTTTTTTTCACGTGGTTTGCAATCAATGATGCAAAATCATGCAGATCACACGCAAGAGCATCTGATTGTGTGAAATCGGGTGGTTCTGAAGGGTTGCTACAGCTACACTCAAATTCTGTCAATTTTTTTGCATTTTCATGGTTTGCTACTTTTGGGGCCATTTTGAGCCTATTTGGAGGAGGAAAGAGGTGGAGTCCCTCTCTGAAGTCCGCTGACATGCTAGGAGGTAATCAACGTGGCTTCAAGAATAAAAAGAAGTGGAGCACCCTTGTTTACTTGTGCAATCAACGGGGCACCCATAAGAAAAAATGGTGGAGCCGCTGGATCTTTTGTGTGTGTGTGTGTGTAAGCAAAAAAGGAAAAACTAAAAAAATGTTTATAATATAAGTGTTTTCGTACATAGGTACACTACGTGCAGTGCGGGATTGATACGCAACAACGTGTGACACCCCACGCCGCATAGGCTGCTGCAAAAATAATTCAATATTTTGAAGGCTAGGAGATTATTTGGTCTTGTGGGCACCAAATAATGCTTTCTCATTTGTGTCGAAACTCAGTGTGCTTTAATTGATCTGAAGTGCCCTCACCTCGGGATTCGAACCCCCGACCCGAGGGACTTACGCCAGAGGCCGCACCAATGAGCCAAGACGTAGAGCACAACTATATATATATATATATATATATATATATATATATGAATTTAAGGTATTTTCATGTGAATATATATATATAAATTTATGGTATTTTCAAGTGACGAAACTGGTCTCAACCAAAAATAGAGGATAACTAAAACGTCATCAACAATTTATTATTTAACATAAGTCTTGTGGGATGACACAATTCTCAAAACATGACATGAATCTTTTGACAACTTTTTAGTAAGAAATCCTAAAACTTTTATTAAAAATTATCTAGAACTCAGATTGCAGTAAACATATAGTCAAACAAACCACTCCGTCCAATGATACTAAAATTAGTACAATCTAAGTCAAATCAAGCTTAGTTCAAGTCGTTAAATCAATTTTGAAAGTTTTCAGTACGTGTCAGTGAGAAAAATCCAACGAGCCCAAGATTGCACAATTATAACATTATTAGGACACTTAAATGTTCATCGAATATCGTCTAATCGAGAGAATCTCTTCGAGTTGTCCAATAAAGTGGTATAACTTCTCCTTATTTGCACCAAGAATTCTTTTAAACTCTATAAATAGTCCTAGCACCTTCTCAAGGAGAAAATAATACGTCTGAATTCTACACGTAGTTCTGGTCATGGAGTAGGTTTTTCTTTAGCATAAACATTTTGTACTTGAGTAAAAAAAAAACATATGAATAAACAATTTGATGTGAAAGCCATTGAGTACAACATGGTTGTACCGAAGAAAAACCTTAAGTACAATCATATTGTACTCCATGACCGGGATGGGCTTCAAGCTTCTCCGCATTTTAGACAATGACACATGCCAAATTTTAATTGCAGTCAGTATGTCAGACCTCTAGACGTAATATTTTCCCCTTCTTACCAAAGGACCTAGATTGTGAGCAAGAAGTAGACTAAAGCTTCGAGGAGTTGAAGTACAACATCGCTTTTACACCAAAAATCTGGTGAATATCTCTCGCTTATGTAGTCTCCAACCACCGTAAAACGTCACCTGTCGGCCACCGTCTACCATTGTTGGTCACCCTCTACTCATTGTTGCAAAGTTCCATACAAAGTTAAGACTTGTGTTGAGGTGTAAGAAGTAACAATCGACACCACTAAGTCATGAAACATCTTACAAAGTACTGTATCATCCCAAATGTTGTGTCAATCGTGAGGACGATGTACCAAAGCTCCAACAACAACTCCCCATCACGACCACACCATACTATTGGGCAACGAACTCTTTTGTGCACAATCGTTATAACTTGAGAAATTGTGTAATCCTTTTCTGTTCGTAATACAAGCGTTTATATGTGTAATCACTAATTCATAGTTGAACATTTTAACTCGGCTAGGCCACAAGTTTTTTCCCTTTCCAAGTTTTTCATGTAAAAATTTATGATGTTCAACTTATCACTCTCATGATCTCAATATGTGTTAGATTTTTGTACAAAGCTAAGAACCGCCATGAATTCTGAAATTTAATCTAAAAACTTGAGAATTTAATGGTTAAGGATGCAGAAGACACTATTTAGTTAAAATCATAGACCAAGTCATAATAAAAAAAAATCAAAAAATCTTAAGAAGTACCTAACGGGAATTGCTTCTTGTGGATAAATTAGTTATGATTCCAGTTTGATAAGTACTTAATGATTGTTTTGGCAGACACTATGTAGCACTAAAATGATTTTGATAGGTTCAATTAATTATTGGATGAAAGTTATTGTAGTGAATAAATTTATGGAAACATAATATATATAAGGAAATCGGTATTTGACAGAGGCCCAAATATCGATTTCCCATGCACTAGGCCCCATGATGAGAGTCCGAGTCATGTGCCTAAATATTCGAGAACCTAGTGTCACCGGGGATCGAACCTGTGATCTGAGGGGACTTACAGTGAAACCCGCCAACCAAAAATATTATTGTGGCTCCATAAGTTTGAATTGAATGGAGTGAATGTGACTTCATAAGTTTGTTTTAATTTCAAATTGAAAATTCTATACATAAATAATTCATCATAGATCATTGACATATCTCAATTATAATAAGACTTTTACGAATAATATATTACTATCCCAAATTACATTAATAACGGGATTGTTAATGAAATATCTCTATAATTATGAAAGTTTTCATCAATAATAGATTGTTCTTATAATTCCCTCAAGAGTTATGGACAAAAAAATAACTAAGTATATCTATAACATCTTAAAAGTTCTTGTATGCATCGCTTTCCTCATCAAAATAATGGAGAAGTAAAACTAACATCAATAAAATGTATTTTTTTAGGACATCCTAAATATGTTAAAGGGCATAACTAGCTATAAGGCGCTAAATTTAAAAAGAATATATTTTGTATATTTCTAATGCTAATAATGCAAGCGAAGATATTAGTTCACTTTAAGACAAAAAATAGCACATTTTTATAAAACAATAAAATTATGTGTTTTGAGTTCACGCCTCTTCTTAATTTATTTAGAATACTGAGAAACTACAATAGCTTATAATACTACCACCTAAATTAAAATTACATGAAAGGGCATCAATGAAATTTAAATGGAAGTCACAAGGAGACAGTTTTGAAGGAATTTTGAAGAGGTATTTTCCTAATTATTTATATAATTTAGAGCCAAATCACCTTTATATAAAATAATTGAATAGCAGATAAAGGTGGCGGAGCTTTCAAGTTTGTTCAAACTGGGGAGGGAGAAACAAAAGATCGAACAATTGATGCCTTTGCCAAAAAGTGAATTTTTTCTAAAGTATAATATGTTATATGTTTAATTAAACATATCTTCGATATTATTGTTTTTAGTGTTGGTCATCACTTGGACAGATAGATTTTGTTATTTTTATATCTTTCACGTTGTGATATGTACTTGCCGCTGGTGTCCATACTCCAAAATATATTATACGAGTTCAAAGATAAAAACTCGTTATTTTATTTACTTGATAATGTCATGAATGTTATTTTTGTCTTTAGCTTGTTTGGGTGAGAATTTAGTGTTTTAATCATGAGATCCTTGATTCAAGATTATAAGATTATGTAAATACTAGATGTGTATTTGCGATTAAATTATTGAAAATGTTAGAATTTATTTGTATTCTCTTCATATTATTTATTTAGAAATATTTTTTGAAGATGGAAATAAAAATACAACTTTGGAACAAGCAGTTCGGGCAGTTTGTTTTCGCGATTAAAATATTTAAAATGTGAGAATTTATTTGTATTCTGTTCATATTATTTATTTTAGAAAAAAAATTTGAAGATGGAAATAAAAATTACAATTTAGGATTAAGCAGTTAGGGCAGTCAAAATTATTTATTCGTGAACAACTCGTTTTTTATTCTTTTGCTAAATAAATGAGCCAATCACAAATATTTTTTTTGCGCTCTATATATAAACGTGCCGAAAATGAACAAAAATTTGTTTGTTCGTGCTAGACATGTTTTGACTCAAAATAATTAAATTATATATATATATATATATATAATCAGTTAAAAGTATTAGGAATTAAGAATTATTAAGTTATATTTAAATCTTGTTCCTATTCTTAATATCCCACACCTGTGTGACTAAGTCTACCAAAATGATTCCTTCTCGAAGATTTCGTGTTTGGCTCGCTGAGTAAAGAGACCAAACACAACTAATAATATTTTTAATGAGACGGACACAAGCGGAGGAGGAGGGCGTTTAAACTTGGCTAGTTTAGTAGTTTACACCCACTACAGGCAGCGCCATAATTCAAAGCTCAAGCAGATGAAAAATGCAGGCAAATTAACGATAATAGAGCATCGAATTAAAAGCAGTTTACGACTCACCATTAATAATTTATAGAGGTCATCCATGGTGAACGGCGGGTTTGAATTCCCTGTCTCCACGAGGTCCAGCAATGCTTCCAAAACGTCCCCCCTTTTCTCCCCGCTCGCCAACTTTCGCTTCTTCTTCTCCACGATGCCGTCCAGATACTCATCAATCCACACCTTCAGCTCCTTCATCCGCCTCCCTATGCCCTGCGGATCAAGCGGCGCAACCACCGGAAAAAAATCGGCGACGTTGGGCGCCATCAGGAGGCCTATGGCCTCCTCGATCGCCCTCCGGAACTCCTTCTCATCCGGCCCACCGCCCACGGGTTCCCCCAACAGCAGGCTCGTCATCATATTAAGCGCGGTCAGAAACGCGGTCTCCCGCACATCGATCGACGCACCCATCTTCGACTGGCCCCACACAGCCTCCACCGTGCGCCGCATTTCCAGGCGGCGAAGTGGCGCCACGGCTTCCATGCTGGCGCCGCCGAGCATTTTGTTCACCGTTATTTTGCGCAGCATGCTCCAGAGAGGGCCGTATGGAGCCCACAATATGTCGAGGTTGGTGTTTCCATATGATTTGCGGATTGCGGCGGGGATGACGTGGTTCGCAAAAGCGGCGTCTTGAACTTTAAGGATCTCGCGGGCGGCGGAGGGGGAGGAGATGACGACGCAGAGTTTGAAGCCGAGGCGGAGGCTGAAGATTGGGCCGTAGGATCGGGCGAGGCCGGTGAAATAGTGGTGGAGGTTTGGGTTGAGGAAGGGGAGGCTGCCGAGAATCGGGAGGCCGCGCGGGCCTGGCGGGATTGGGAGGCGATGCTTTTCATTTACATGTTTGCGTTTTAGGCGGATGAGAAAAGGGAACAAAACGGTGATGGCGAGCGTCAGGAGTGTTGCGATTCCGGTGACGGTTGAGACGTCCGGATGAGTGATCAACGCCATCTCTATCTTTCTCTTTGAGCAAACTGGCGCTCTCCGAGTTCTTCCCCTGGTTAATAGTTGTGGGTGGAAGTGGATTGATTTTCTTACCATGCTAAAAAACAGATCGCTTAGCAGCAGGATCATTAACTATCGGACGGCTATGACATTTTCAATGATAAAGAAGAAAAAAACCTAAACTTAATAAAAATATGTAACATTTATAGATAAGATTGGTAAAAGATAATGAAATTTTTAGAAGAAAAATTAAAGAAGAGAAAAATCATGGGATCATGTCTGGTCATAATTGCTTATTACATAATTAAAATTACGTAATTTCATTATTTTTTTCAATTGAAAGTAAATAAAAGACCACAATATTTATTTATCTCTTTATCATTATAAAAGAGTTGTATAACACAAACAAATTAAGTGACCATGATCAAATAATATTAACATGAAAAAATGAGAGGGACGTTGACGATCGGTGTAATAGTGTTGATGAATTGGATGTGAGAAGGGAATGAATTGGATGTGAGAAGGGAACTAGAGGCAGGTTGAGGTTACCACTCAACATAAGAAGATAATGGGTGGGAGAGATGATTAACGCCTGAACAATGGTGTGGCTCACACTAATCTACGTCATTGTTCTTATACCCGATTTATGGGACGTAATATTACCTCGAGGTGAGAGGGGGGTATTGTCAAAGCACACTTAGGCTTGGGTCACCACTAAACAAAGAGGACAATGAGTGGAAGAGGTGGGAAAAATATTATGCTTGGATGATTAACATATGAACGATGTTGTAGCTCACACCACACCGCCCAACGGAATATAATACATTTATGAACAAAAAGGTCCCTCCAAAGCAAGAAAGAAGAATCTTACGGATAATACATTTAAGAACAAAAAGGGAACCCTCCCAAACAAGAGAAAATATTATGATTTCGTACCTAATTATTTTTGCCAAAAACAAAGGCCCTAAAATAAGGTGTGAGTTGGTAAATTTGTGCTACTTTTTATAAGACAAATTGGAAATTAAATAAGAACCGTGAGGTAAAAAGTAGCACTGATATCATTCATACCACCCAATTCCTATGAATTTGCGTAACTAACACCTAATATATATATATATATATATATATATATATATATATTATTTTTATATTTATATCACCCAAATCTTTCATTTTACATCAACATTCTCACAGTTTTAATTTTTAAAATGTGAAATATATTTTTTCATGCCCAAATAAAGTAGCATAGACGTAAAAAATTAAAAATTTATGTGCTAGATATGCAACTGCATAGAAATTAAGTGGTATGCATGTAAATATTCTATTTTTGGGGATTTACAGACATACGGTTGATTATATGTCTGTCTTCACTTCTGTGTACAGGCTTTGTCTCTGCCTTGTCCACCATTTGATGTTGATCACTGTAATAGAATACATAACACCAATGTATGTATATACATGTCGTGACATCTAAGAGAAAAGATAAATTGGAAATTAAATAAGACAATTTTAATGATATCAGTGCTACTTTTTACCTCACGGTTCTAATTTATTTAAACTATTTGTTATATTATTTCATTTTGGCACTTCTCAGCCTTCAGCCACTCATTATTTGGTCAAAATTGAAAACTCGAACCGAACCAAATAAGTTCGGTTGATTTATATAGATTTTAAAATTACATTTCGGTTTTTAGTTTTAAAACTTCGATATTCTGTTTGTTATGGTATGACTCATATATCATATCGGGACAGACGCTAGATCGAAGCGGAGCGGAATAATCTGTCCAAATCGGGAAGTTACGTTATATGGGTTGGGGCTATACGGTACAGGAGTAATTTGGGAATTACATATTATAATGTAGGGCTTACTCTAGGATTATAAATAGATCTGTTTGTAATCCTAGGTCTTTGAGAGAGTTGAATTTTGTATTTTGTATTCTTTTCTGAATATTGAAAAGGAGGTCGCCGTTCTGCTCCCGAGGACGTAGGCATATTTGTCGAACCTCGTTAAATCTCTGTGTTCTTCTGGATTTGTGTCGATTCCTATTTTTCTTCGCCCTAATTTTCTCAACAAGTGGTATCAGAGCCAAGGTTTGAGGGCAAGGAAGAAAACTGCGGCGGCGCAGGAAGCAAGAAAACGATTTGGGGATTTTGAAAGGAGAAGGATCTCCCTGGCTTCGGTTCGGAATCAAGGAGGCCGGAGTTCGCGGACGCAGATTTCTGCGGGTCAAGATCTGCGTAAGGTGCTCTTCGCGACGGGACCAGGAAGAACACGCGGGTTTTCGGCGAAGTGTGGTTCATCCGCGCGACAATGAAGCTTTGCGCAGGAGGCATCGCAGGGCAGCGCAGAGGAAGCTCCGATTTGGCGCTAGAAAGGAAGGTTCGCACGAGAAGAAGGCAGAAAAGGAAAGGAGCGGGCGGCCTTTGCGGGCAGGATGCATCGTGCAGAAGGTCCGCTGCCTGGAAAGGAAGGTTCGCGCCGAAGGAGGCCACAGGATCGCAGAAAGTAAGAATATTCCATCTTTGGCTCCGATGAAGGCTGCTTCCAAAGGAATTTCTTCCGCCTGCTTGATTGGAAAGGGAATTGAAGGCTGCTGCATTGGAAAGGGAAGTAAAAGCATTTAATTAAGGGAAGCCTAATTAAACAAATTTAATTAAATAAAATTTCTTAATTAATTAAGGGAAAATATTTTCTTTTTCAAAAAAAAAAATTTCTTTTTTCTTCTTTCCTCTTAAAAAGAAAAAGGTCTAAGCAAGGATTTTTGCAGAGGAATTTTTTGCAGAAAAGTTTTTGTTGCAGAATCAAAATTATTCGCAAGGCGGATGGGCTCGCGGGAACAAACAGGTGCGAAGCAGTTCGGATAAAGGGCTACCGCAGTTCGACGAGTTACTCTTCGGGGAGTTCGCGGTAGAGGCTGTGTCGCAATTTTGAGGCGCGACAATTCATGAACCTTCTGGAGTTCGCGAACAGGAGTTCGTGTGCAGTTACCGCGAACAGGAGCGTTTGCAAACAGAGGAGTTTGGTGGTGTTCGACCAGCGGAGTTTGCAAATTCGTCGCAGGTGGAATTTGCGACAGGTGGAGTTCGGTAGGGTGCTGGCGAGCGAGTAGACGCGATTATTCGCGAACAGTGGTTTCGCTGAGGTATTTCGCGAAGGGTTTGGCTCACGGGACAACAGTTTAGCCGAGGTGTTGGCGCGAACAAGAAAAGTGCTTCAACCCACATTTGTGCATAAGAAACTCCATGATATTTTTCTCCTAAGGGGCTGGATATTCGCAAGGTGGAGATTTTCTCCTAAGGGGCAGGATGTTCGCAAGGTGGAGATATTTCTCCTAAGGGGCTGGATATTCGCAAGGTGGAGATTTTCTCCTAAGGGGCAGGATGTTCGCAAGGTGGAGATATTTCTTCTAAGAGGCTGGATATTCGCAAGGTGGAGATTTTCTCCTAAAGGGCTGGATATTCGCCAAGGTGGAGAATTGTTAGGTATGACTCATAATACCAGAATTTGGAGTCTCTTGGAATTAAAGAGGTGTGTCTCTTGGAATTTAGTGGGTTGACATCAGCGTGGGCGCAGCAGAAGCATGGTGGCCCAACCCACAGTGGTGCAGGTGTAACTCCCAGGTATTTTTCTCCTAAGGGGCTGGATATTCGCCAAGGTGGAGATTTGTTATGGTATGACTCATATACAATATCGGGACAGACGCTGGATCGAAGCGGAGCGGAAGAATCTGTCCAAATCGGGAAGTTACGTTATATGGGTTGGGGCTATACGGTACAGAGGTAATTTGGGAATTACATATTATAATGTAGGGTTTACTCTATGATTATAAATAGATCTGTTTGTAATCCTAGATCTTTGAGAGAGTTGAATTTTATATTCTGTATTCTTTTCTGAATATTGAAAAAGAGGTCGCCGTTCTGCTCCCGAGGACGTAGGCATCTTTGTCGAACCTCGTTAAATCTCTGTGTTCTTCTGGATTTGTGTCGATTCCTATTTTTCTTCGGCCTAATTTTGTCAACACTGTTTTCAATCATTGGTTTGATTTTAATCTTCAATAAACCGAACAGATCGAAAAAATCCAAAATTTAGAAACTAAATGTAATATTCATGAGATTAAATCAATAGTATTCATGTAAAATTTGTAATTTAATATGTTGTTAAGTGGTGGAGCCCGACCCACATAATCAAATAGGAAGTAATTAATGCCTGCTTAATTTACTTCCCAGGGTCATTTTCTCTCTCCGCGGAACCTCGGAAAGGATCCGCGAGAGATGCTCTCCGCGACTCACACGTTCCCACGTTACACGCTCCACGCTCCACGCGGTCTCGTCAAAAACCAAGTTCTTGTGCTAAGCCTTTTTCGAATCATCCCAAAATCCTTTTCACAGCAAAAACCAAAAACCTGCGGCTGAAAAGAAGGGACAAAATGCTGCTTTGTTTTTCTTTCTTTCCTTCAACTCTTTTTTGGCAGAGAAACAGAAGTTTGTTTTTTTCCTTTTCTCTAATTCATCTTCTCATGTGGGCTGGGATGAGAAAAGAAAAAGAGAGGAAGAGAGAGTAAAGAGAGGAGAGAGAGAGAAAAATTAAAGAGTTTTTTGTTTAAACGTTGAGACGTTCGACGGTGTAATTTCCTCGAAGCAATAAAATCTTCTGCAATTCCGTGGACGTAAGCAATTTGGCGAACCACATAAATCTTGTGTCGCATTTCTGGTGTAATATTTTCGATCTATTTTTCGCTTCATTTGTCGTCATTTTTTTTTTCATAACATATGTTTACTTATAACTCATCTCTAACAACTAAAATTTGATTTGTTCACAACTACACCATTTAAATCAAATTGAATTTTAGTTCGGTTTTATAAAACTCTGATTGATTCAATTTTTTCAGATTTTGGATTTTGGTTGCAAATGATTTGGCCAGTTTTGAAACCTATCCATCCAAAGTGACTCTATGCTCAAGATCAATTCAATCTCTCTTTCCTCTTATATGTTATGACTTGTATGAATATACATTGAGTTTTTTTGTATTTTGTCATCGTCAACTCATCAGATGG